TTAAAGGAGAACTATAGGGTGAGTGAATTACATTCATCCCCATAGTTAGAGCCGATGTGAGACATTGAAACTGTCACATGCCGGCTCTATTGATCGGGAAGTGAGCAAAAACTTACCGCCGATTGCTCACTTCCCGATCATCTCCCTGCAGGGAGCGATGACTGTTAGTCACCGCTCCCCACAGGGATTCCCCCCCACCCCTCTCCAATCCTCCAGACTGAAAGGACGGACAGGGAGTGGGCAGGCATAGCTGGCTCTGCCTCTAGATAGGTAGAGCTAGCTGCCAATCAGCCAGCTGGGTGGATCTCAACAGTATTGAGATCCACCCAGCTGCAGTATAAGTCCTCTCTCGTGACCCTGAGGAGAACTATGAAAAAAACACATTGCCCCAAAGTTCTCCTTTATTTGCAAAGATAAGTGATCAATGGCTAAAGAGATCGAACAATGAGCTCCCTATATTGTAAGCTACACAAGTAGCATGAAGTAGCTGGCACATAATACTTGTGGGCTTGTGTCACAATCATCTTCTTATTATTACATTGTTGGATTTCAAGCAACCCTGGAAGAAAAGTCCAAATAAAGTTTGCCACTGCAAAACAACAAAGTGAACATTACCTCCCCTGCTGTCCATGCTTCTTGAACTCCGCTCTGATCAAGAGGAACAGGCACCTCCCTTAGTGTGGCACTTCTGTGTCCCTTCCAGCACATAGTGGTTCTACCCACTGACTCCTACATCACTACAGGATCAGGACACAATAGTAATGCAGAGGTTGGTGGGAGGAACCACTGAGAACTGCAGGGAGGACAGAAGACCGACACTCCCAGAAGTGTCGGTTTCTGTATAGACATCACCCAGAGATTTCAGGTGATCAGTGTGGCAGCGACTTATTTCGACTTTGACATTGATGACAGGGTCGCTTTAAATGTCTTGTATATCTTCCTAGCATTATGTAATAGCTTGAGATGTTCAGAGTTTCCAAAACTAATATCCACTTTTCCTTATTTCAGATTAATGTAGGATGTGTGACCTTTCTGACCTTAGTCCAGGTACAGTGTTTACTAGATAGCACTGGTTTAAGGAGTTCTTCCTTTGTTGCCTAAAATTGCTCTTTTAAAATATAACTAAAGCCAAAAACAATTCCAGATTACCAGTTTATAGATGTGGTGGCTGCATTAGTTTTCTTTTTTTCAGACAGAAGATATCTGTTGGTTTTGCTAAAATTGCATTGTCTTTGTCACATCCTGTGAGCTAACAAAAACAATGTTATCTTTGTTGTGTAAACTGTTAATATCGTTGCCCAACGTGAAATGGAGATGAACAAACACAGAAATGTTTCACAAGTCCAGCTTGTGTGACAACCATGGCTCTCTCCATAGACAGATATAATGGAGTGAGTGACGTAGCCACCTAGGGTCAGGAAGTGTTATTTGCAGGATTCCCATGTGAAAATAAATGGAACCAAAAGTCTGAAAAAGAAAACTAATGCACACACATCGTCTGGACTGAAAAGCTGCAACATATTATTCTTTTTTAGGGGTTTAGATACGTTTTTAAGTACATGAGCTCGAAGATGAATGTTGGAAGCTCTGAACCTCACCAGCTGTTACATTATGTCAGACAGATACAAAAAGCATGTTTAATCAGATAATGTAATAAAAGGAGATGAAAGTGACACAAGCAAGCCCAGCAGATGTAACAAAACTTAATTAAACAGCAAGAAAAACAAAGCACATACAGTACACTGTACAGTCTGTTTTCTTGGTTCGAAAAACACAACTGTTAACCTTGGTGGTTTTGAAATACTGTGATGGCATATGATGTAAATGTCTGCTGATGATATGCAAGCCTTTAGTGTTACAATTGATGTTTTATGTCCTTGTCTGTAATGCTTATACAGTGACTCGCATTCCTCCATGTACAGTACATAGCAAACCAGGGTTAGAAATTCAGCATTGCTGACACTGTCTGCACATTTACAGTCCAAACAAAATCAAACTGCACACCGCTCTTTTTTCTTCTGAAATCTACAAACTGCATATAATCGCAGCACTTGTTTTTCTGCTTTAGTGTTGAAAAATGTGTCTGCTGAGGGTAAATATGTGTAACTGTGCAAAGAAGTAAAGGCATAGACAGCATGTCAACAGGTCAGGTAACACTGTGGATGTCTGTTTTGTATCATGACCCCAGCTGTCCCCTCCACAGTGATCCCTACTGTGGGGGAGACTCGAGGCTGTTTCAAATATATATAACTGAACACTGTCCAGGTATCTGCCTGGGTGCACTGCAGTCTGTCCAATCCAAGAGCCAGGATTTTTTTAGGAGCTGTTGACAGGTATTAGAGTCACTCATGGGTCTTGAGCATGATAGTATGTCCAAGCTAGAGTTTATTCTGTCCAACATTTTAATGGATCACAGTCCATCTTTGTCAAGGCAGCTTGACTCTCTTCCCTTTCTCTCATTGATGGTGCTTGGTGAGTGGTTAGTAGGGCACCCAGAACTGTCGCATGGAAGCAGAAACGGAATCCTTAGCCCTGTGTATGTTCCAAGTTGTAGGTAAGAAGCCTTACCCATGGCTTCCACTCTTAGCTTCAAGAGTGATGGTGGAGAGAAATAAGATTTGTGTGTGTGAAATTGGCAAGGGGAGCAAATAGGTTTACCATGCATGGGCACAGCACTTAACCAACACTCTCTTTGGTAGCTTTACATGCAGCTGGATGTATTTAG